CCCCGCTCGCGCTCGCGCTGCCGCCCGACTGCTGCTGCGGCCGAGCCGAGCCCTGCCCCGCCCCGCCACCTTTGTCCCAGTTCCGAGCGGCGCCGGCGGGGGCGGGGGCGGGCACAGCCGCGCTCGGGGGGGCGTCCTGCGCCCCCGCCGGGTGTGAAATGAGGACACCCCCAATAAAAACCACCGCCTCATCTAGCTGCTCCTGACAGGCTCTCCCACCCCAACCCTGGTAGGCAAGCTGAGGACGTGCGGGATGGACTGTCAGGTGGGCGGAAAGCTGGCTGCATCAGAGGGTCAGCCCTGGAGCCCGTCTTGTTCCATGTCTTCATCAGGACCTGGAAGATGGCAGAGCGCCCTCAGCAAGTCTGCAGGTGACACCCAGCTGCGGGGAGCAGTAGATACACAGGAGGGTAGAGCCAGGACTCAGTGACCTAGACAAACTGGAGGATTGGGCCAAAAGAAACATCATGAGGTTCAAACAAAGACAAGTGCAAAGTCCTGCACTTAGGACAAAACGATCCCATCCACCAGAACAGGCTGGGGACTACCTGGCTGGACAGCAGCTCTACAGAAAAGGTCCTGGGAATTACTGCAGTGGATAACAAGCTGAATAGGAGCCAGCAGTTGTTGCAAAGGCAGCGAATGGCCTCCTGGGCTGCAGTGCGGTGTGTTTGTCAGCAGATGAAGGGAAGTGATTCTTCCCATCCATTCAGCGCTGGTGAGGTCACATCTGCAGTGCTGTGTTCGGTTTTGGGCCCCCCACTACCGAAAGGATGTGGACAAATTGGAGAGAGGCCAGGGGAGGGCAATGAAAATGGTGTGGGGGCTGGGGCACGTGACTTATGAGAAGAGGCTGAGGGAACTGGGCTTATTTAGTCTGGAGAAGAGAAGACTTGGGGTGGTTTAATAGCAGCCTTCAGCTACCTGAAGCAGTTTACTGAAGAGGATGGAGCTAGACCAGGGGTAGGCAAAATGGCAGATCTGGTCAATGTCCAGACTCCATTTCCCAGCAGTTGCTCCCTGGTTTTCATGCAGACCCCAGGAGTGGTGGCACCATGATGGCACTGGGCCTGGGTTTCCATGGAGACCAGCCCCAGCAGCACTGGTGACAGCGTGGTCCAGACCCAGGGCAGAGCTGAGATCTGCTGCCTGCACACCCCTTCCCTAGGCTGTGCAGGCAGCAGATCACAGATCTGCCCCAGCTTCCCACCACACTGTTCCCACTGCAAGAGCCCAGCCCTGGGGTCTCCATGGAAACCAGAGGCAGGGACACAGGCAGGGCCTGCTGGGAAATGGAGTCCACCACAGGTCCAATCCAGCCCATGGGCCAGACTTTGCCCACCCCTGAGCTAGACTGTTCTCAGTGGTGACAGATGACAGAACAAGGAGCAATGGTCTCTAGTTGCAGCAAGAGAAGTTTAGGTTATATATTAGGAAAAACTTTTTCACTAGAAGGGTAGTAAAATACAGGATACCCAAAGAGGTGGTGGAATCTCCATCTTTAGAGGTTTTGAAGACCCAGCTATACAAAGCCTTGCATGGGATGATATAGTTGAGGATGGTCCTGCAGGCAGTTGGACTACATGACCTCCTGAGGCTCCTTCCAGCCCTAATTTTCTATGATGCCACCCCAAGGGGACTACAGCCTCCTGCCCCAGGATTCCCCTCCCCTCACAGGACCCTGATGGTCCCCCCTCTCATTTTCCAGTCCTTGGGGCCCAAACCACTTCAGGGTTAGAGGATTAAAAGGAGAGTAACATTTGACTCCAGATGAGATGCTAGCTGGTATCACGGGCTTGCCATCAGGAAACATATCTCCACAGGGCAAGAGCATCAGATACTGGCTGCCACTTTAAAACCAGGGCCAGCCCTCTTTTGTCCAGTGTTTCCCCACCTTGGTGTTAGTTCCATTTAGTTATGAGTCATTCTGGTTTTGTCTTGGCTCTACCCTGCTGGCTTCTTTATCCTACCAGTTGACTGATCACCCTCAACATGGGAAGGTGACTGGTGGAGTAGGAACAGTATTGTTCTTGTTTAGATTTGAGGTTGAATGTTATTTTTGTTTTAAGTCTTGCCTGAGTGCCAGCTGGTTCACGAAAACAGTTTGTTAAACTGTTCAATGGCACCTTCAAATGAACAATTCAAAGATAGCAGCAGTTCTCAATCTTTTTTTAGCTTCAAGGCACCCCCTCCTCACTCTCAAGGCACTGTCTAGGTGCCTTGAGACAAAGCCAGCTCATAGTTTTCCCTTGTTTTTTTGACTACAGAAAAATAATTGAGCAATTCTTTTGTTACAGACAACTCCAAAAGACCACAATAGATTTCTGGAGTCGGAAAGGACCTGGTAGATCATTGGGTCTGACCCCCTGCTCCAGGCAGGAAAGAGCGCTGGGGTTGGTAACCCCAGCCAGATGCCTATCTAATCTCCTCTTGAACATCTCCAAGGTAGGGGAAAGCACCACCTCCCTTGGAAGCCCATTCCATATTTTGGCAACCCTTACTGTAAATAATTTCTTCCTTATGTCCAATCTAAATCTGTTCTTCAGATTTGTGGCCATTATTTCTGCTAACCCCGAGGGCCGCCCTGGTAAACAGAGTGTCCCCTATTCCCTGCTGGCCCCCCACAATGAGTTTGTAGGCAGCCACAAGATCGCCTCTCAGCCTTCTCTTGCGGAAGCTAAAAGATTCAAATCCCTTAGTCTGTCTTCATAGGGTCTTACCTGCAGGCCCTCAACCATATGAGTAGCCCTCCTCTGAACCCTCTCGAGGTTATCCACATCCCTCTTGAAGTGCGGCGCCCAAAACTGGATGCAGTACTCCATCTGCGGGCTCACCAATGCCACATAGAGGGGAATTATCACTTCCCTAGACCTGCTTGTGATACTCCTGCAAGAAAGAGTGCAGTTAGCCTTGCTTATTACCTCATCACACTGGTGACTCATGTTAATTTTTGCGTCAACCAGGACTCTGAGATCTCTTTCCACTGTTGTGGTGCTCAGAACGGTGCCCCCAAGTCTATAGGTGTTTTGGAGATTCTTTCTCCCCACGTGCAACACCTTGCATTTATCCTTGTTGAATTGCATCCTATTCTGATCTGCCCACTTCCCCAGTCTGTCCAAATCCGCCTGAATTTGCTCCCTGCCCTCCAGTGTGTTTACTATGCCCCGTAATTTAGTGTCATCTGCAAATTTGAACAAAGTGCTTTCAACACTTTCATCCAAATTGCTGATGAAGATATTAAACAGTACTGATCCCAAGGACAGAGCCTTGGGGGACACCACTGCCCACATCTCTCCAGGGAGAAACCGCCCCAATGGGCAGAATGTTTTTTTTTAATTCCTAGTTTCATAGTTTCATAGTAGGTAGGGTCAGAAGGGACCTGAGCAGATCAAGTCCGACCCCCTGCTGTGGGCAGGAAAGAATGCTGGGGTTAAACAACCCCGGCAAGGTGTCTATCTAGCCTCCTTTTGAAGACCCCAGGGTAGGGGCAAGCACCACTTCCCTTGGAAGTTGGTTCCAGATCCTAGCCGCCCTGACTGTGAAGTAGTGCTTCTGAATCTACTCTCCGTCAACTTATGGCCGTTGTTCCTTGTTATTCCTGGTAGTGCTCGGGGGAACAGGGACTCTCCCATTGCCTGCTGGTCTCCCTTGGCAAGTTGAAATAATCTTGTGAATTGTGTTTACATACATAACAGTGCTGACATTGCATGGCAGCCTGTGGCACCCTTGAAAAGATCACATGGGCATGCTGGGTGAGAATCGCTGTAATCTAGGTATCACGCCCTGTAGGCATCACACCCTGTGTCTTAACAACATGAGTAAGACTTCAACAATTGTTTTCATTCAATATAGATACGTTGTTACCTTCATGATTAATTTTTTGCCCCTATATCTCCCTGTATACATATGAACTAGAACAGGGGTTGTCAACTGGGGATACGCATACCCCTGGGGGTACTTGAGAAGGCCCTAGCGGGTATATTTGGGTGGGTTGGGGTGGAGTGCTGCCATGCACCATCCCACAGGTAGAGCTGACCTGAGCAGGGTGCAGGGCCTGGAGCAAATCAGCCCATGTGGGGCCCCATTTCCGCTCTAATCAGCCCATGTGGGACCCCGTTTCCGCTCTAATCCCACAGGCCCTGGACCCGAAGAAGCTGCTGCCACCATTGGTGGCAGTGGCGGGGGGGTAGCGAGCAGATGGACACAGCTGCCGCTGCTCTGCCCAGATCCGCAGGGCCCCCCAAAGTGTGGGGCCTGGGGCAGTCTCCCTGATTCGCACCCCCTCAGGGACAGCCCTGCCCACAGGGATGGATTGCCACCACACACCATCCCAGTGTACCCCCAGCAGCTGGATGCAGGGAGCAGGGGAAGCTTGCACACCACAGCTGCTGTGCCATGTGCCACCCCTCCTCCCCCCCGCCCCACTTTGCGTCCGGTCACCAGGGGTACACTGATCCAAAAAGGTTGAAAACGCCTGAATTAGAACATTACCTTCCTTTAATCCCAGTTGTAAAGAAACTAAGAGTTAAAAACATAACTATACTCTTGTACCTTTAATTGTTTTGATATTGAGATGTTGTTCATAGTAATACTGCCTCACTCCTTGTTCTTTTTCCCCACTGAGGTAGAAAATTTGCTTTACTTTAATGTTCTTATCTCTATCCCTTGAGGTAAGCTTTGTTCCTAGAGTTAACTTGCATTCCCACTGCTTCCATGCTTGTATAATTTTGGGTTTGGGATGGGAGAGTTCTCTCTGGAAGTCCAGATTTCCAGTCATCTGAGACCATCGAGATTTCCTATTTCCTGTTCCAGCTGTTCACAGGATTGATTTGTGTTCACATTGCTTACATGCTTGCACAGGTTTTTTGGTTCTTTCTGAAGATCTGAACATCTAGTTTTCCAGTCATCTGGGTCTCTCCAGGTTTCCTGTCTGCTGTTTTCAGGTACTGCTTTGTTTTCCTGTTACTCTCAGCCTGTCTTGCCATAAAACTGCAACAACTGTAATGAGAATACAGTGTGCTTGTGGAATGAAACTGCTTTTTATTAAGATAATTGTTTACCAAGGCATTGTAATTGTAACATTGCAGTTAGCATTCAAGCCGTGTACTTGCAGACTAACTAAAAAGTTGGACTGGAAGGTATCCATCCCCTGGGTCAGTATGTCCAGTCCTCTGCTATTACAAGCACCATGCCATGTCATCTCCAGTGCCTAGTAAAATAGCACTGATACCTCTCTATCTCTAATCAATTCTTCTTCTTTCACAATCCCTTGCAATGGAGGATGATTGTCTTCCATAATTGTATTATCTGTGAGTCCAAATATGGCTGATGAGACCGATTCAGGATCTACAGACTCTTCTGCAATATACCTCTAATCAATATACCTCTCCTGAAGCATCTTAAAACTTTTCACTCCTGCATGATGTGCTCTTCCTTCCAATGCATAACCTTGAACTTATGGGCTTGGCAAGGCCAACCTGCTTGTAGGCAGAGAAGGAACAGTGAGGCCCACGGTGAGGGCCTGGCAGCCCAGGCTAAGGAGGGACAGCTATTCAGCTGGTGCTAAGACCTGGAGTGGAGGTAGACCTGAGGCATGAGTCTGGGGGATCATGAAAAGTGGCTGCTTCATGAGCCAAGGGCTGAGACCAACACAGCCGGGCCTGTTGGGGATCAACTCAACCAGTTTGGCCACCAGCAACATCTAAGTGCCATCTCTGAGCACCCCTACAGAGGGGGCGGGGGAGGCTGAGGTGGCTTTGATCTCAGCGGCGCCTACAGAGCCCTTGAGATGCAACGCTGTGAGGCCGAGCCAGGCCCAATGTGTTGCCTCACTAGGCAGTAGCACATTAGTCACCACTCCCTCCCTCCCCTCCCAAGATGCCCTGGTGCGGTCTAGAGCCCTGCAGCACTTGGCAGCCCCTCACAGCATGGGGCATCTCCCTCCTCACCCTTCCCCACCCTGCTAGCCGAGCTTGTGCCACACTGCCATGATGGCCGTGCTGGCCCCAGGGGTCAGGTGGGATGGGAGAGCACAAAGAGGGCTCAGCTCAACTTGCCTCAACTTGCCCTTACATAGCACTGCTCACCCTGTGTCGCAGTGCAGCTGCCAGGTGCCCACTCATGCTGACTGGTGCTGTCCAACTGGCACTGCCCTATGCACTTGCCCCTCTCCATCACCTTTGTCCCAATTTTGAGTGGGGCGGCACTGGCAGAGATTCACTCAGCACTGAGGTAGGATCAGGCCCAGGCCATCCTCCTGGGGGCTGCACCAGGCCAGGCCAGGCCAGGGAAGGGGCACCCAGTGCCCTTTAGCCACCTATTCCCCCCCCAACCAAATGTGTGAGACAAGGGCACCCCTCCAATAAACACATACACCTCCTCACACACCTTGGATATCCAACTGCAGCTTTCAGGTTCTTGATGTCACCCTCTAAGGGGACTCCTCCAAATTCCCCTCCCTTCCATGGGACCCTGACAGCTTCCCCCTCTCATTTTGCTGCCTGTTAACCATTCCTGGTAATATCTCTCTTCTGTTTCACAGTCAAGCTAAGAATCTTAATTCAGGGGTATTAATATTATCTCAGGTGTAGAAAAGGATGAGTGAAGTACTGGAGGCATTGTCAAGATGCTCAAGAAGACTAGATTTTGTTTTACAGGCCTGAGTTATGTACATTGAATTATAATGACTACAGAACTAATGAAATAATATCTTTTGACTATTTTGCCCATTTTGGACTCAATTTTTGTTGTTTCTAAACCTAATATACAATCTAGCAAATTAGTGAACATTCCAATAAAGTTATATTTGTTTTTGCTTTGATCTTAAGTGGAATAATATAGTGCTAGGCCTGTAGCTTATTGGAAACATTTCTAGGCCATGTCTCCACGAGCGGGAATGTCATCTCCCTGGGGACAAGTAGCAGTGGCACAAGGTGTCACTTCCCCCAGGGAACTCCTGTGCCATGCATGCTCTGGTGCATGGCAGGTTACCCCAGGTGGGGTAGCAGAGGCTGGGGCCAGCATCTGTGCTGGCCCCAGCAGCCTTACCTGGGACCCTAGGAGCCTCCTGGAGCTGCAGCCATATCACTCCTGGAGCAGGAAGCCTAGCTGGCAGCTGGAGCATAGCTCCAGCCAGCGAGACTCCAGTTTTAGGCAGCGCATGCTGCTGCCATGTATGCTGCCCCGCTTTTTTATTTTTTGGCATGGGTTTTTTTGACCCCAAGATCTTTCAGGGTCAAGAGACCCCACCCCCGTGCTCCAAAGTAGCAGGACAGGGAATGCCTGCATGTTCAGTGTGTGGCACCGCAGATGGTTCTGCAGTGCCACATACCACACATCTGCGTTTGTCTGGATGTGGACCTAGGTTCTTTTAAGTGGAAAAAAATGTGTTTATGTTTTATGGGTTGATGTGCCTCATCATCTGCACTAGAGGTACACGATAAAGATTTTCTTGGCTGATACTGATAGCTGATTATTAACCAGCCATATCGGCCGATACTGATCTGATAGCCAATTTACAGGGATGCAGCTGGGCAGCTTGGAGAGCAGCATCTTGCTGGCAAGTCTGTGTGGAGGAAGGGGTGTGGAGGAGGAAAGGGGTGTGGGGGGGCAGATTAAGGCCCTTGTGGTGAAGGAGGGAGTGGGGCAGGTGCAGGAGCAAGCGGGCCCAGTCAGGGTGGTGAATGGGACCCTGGGGCTGGGAACAGGACGGAGCTGTGGGCAGCTTGTTCAAGGGACATGGGACAGTGTGGGGAGGGGGAGTAATTCCTTGCCACTGTGTGCACCCTTGGTGGAGGCATGTGGCAGGGCATGTCTCTCCCCAGATTTGTGCACAGGGCAAAAGCTGCTGCCCGCTGCGGGCTCAGGGCCAGGGGCTGCACCAGCCTTCTCCCAGTTCGGGGGCTGGGCTTGGAGCAGGTGGGAATAGGGTGGGCTTAGCTACATAGGGCAGGAAGTAGTAGTGCTGGGAGGGGTGGCTATCGGGGAGCTAAGGTGAATTTTGGGGTGGCTACAGCGCCCCCCCAGTGCCGCCCCTGCTTGGGTCACTCTGCTCTGATGCCTTTCCCTCGGGAGCATCCTGCTGCAAGGCAGGTGGGGGGCATACAGCTAGCGTGGGGCTCCCAAGGGAAAGGAAGCAGAGCAGAGTGCCCCCAGCAGGAGTGGCACTAGGGTGAGCTTGGGGGACTATAGCCACACTAAAATTCACTTTAGTCTCCCCATAGCCACCCGTCCCAGCACTGCTGCCCACCTCCGCACAACTGAGCCTACCCCACTCCCACCTACTCTGAGCCCAGCCCCCTCACTGGAAAGAGGCTGGTGCAGCCCCTGTCCCCGAGCCTGCAGCCCCCCTCTTCCCTGTGTACAAATCAAGGGGAGCACATGCCCTCCTGTGCCTCCCCAGGTGTAAGCGCAACAGTGGGGAGCCACATCCCCTCCCCAGCACCCCGTGCCTTCTGGATGAGCCATCCTCAACTCCATCCCGCTCCATGTCCCAGGGTCCCATTCACTACCCTGGCTGGGCAGCACATACCCCTGCCCCCCTCCCTCCCTCCCTCCCTTCCTCCCTCCCTCACTGTGTAGACTCTATCTGCCCTGCACCTTCCCTGCCACAGACTTACTGGCAGGACGCTGCTCTCCAAGCTTCCCGGCTGTATTTCTGGACATGTGCATGGTGGCTATGTGCTTGCACATGGCATTTATTGATGACATTGTCGGCTACACCGGCCAAAAAAGCCAATTGCCGATAATGTTAATTTTCCTTTTGTCAGTGCCGATCCAATATGCGACTGATATATTGGTGCATCTCTAATCTGCACCCCCTCTTTCAAAATCCTAAATCCACCCATAAATGGGCCTAAAATTTGTTTGGATTAAATTATTATATACCCAGTCCAAATAAATATCCTTTGTAAAAACTTTTTTAGACTGAAGGATGTTCTTCTGTATCAAAAAATACAGGACGGGGTCTAGAGTAAAATCTTCTTTTCATTAATTTTCCTGCGGCCGGAATTTTATTAGGGAATAAGGTTCTTTGAAGTCTTTTTAAAGCATGCCTATTTAAGGATGTAATCTAAAAATAATTTATATTTGATTTATTTTTAGTTATTTGATCTATGTTTTATGTTTATCATTTAGAGCTCCCATAGTTAGATTTCTTATATTTTAAGACGTTCCTTTTCAAAGAAATTAGATTTTTCACTCAATGTTCAGAATTTACCAGGTAAAATTGGCGAAGCTGGTTCTTCTGTTCCCATAAAACAAAGTGTTTAGAGATAGTATGAACTTGTTTTAGTCTCTTAGCTCTATAAGCTTTGAAATCTTGCAGAACAAATTGAATGTTTCTCAGAACAAGCGTGGGCCCTTTTACTGTCACTCAAATCAATTGAAATTGTGCCTTTGGCTTCTGTAGATGCAAAACCGAACTTCTGTGACAGCAAAGATGATTTGGAGGAATTAAAGAAGTGTTCCAATTTAAGGATAGGTTGCTGCTTGCAGGATGCCAGATGCCACAAAAGGGCATGAGTGCGCCACATATCCCAGCTCTATAGTTTCCACATTGGGAGAGTTCTTCATCAAGCTGCTGCAATTTCCTGTGTTCCTCAGGAGAGGTAAAACTTAGGAACCACAGTTTCATAAGAGCTGCATTATTAATTAGACTTTACTTGCCCAAACGTGCTACATGAATAAATGGATGATCCAAACCCAACAGGAATTCAAGCCAGCAAAATAAACAGCCCAATTAGGTGATGTCTTCATTTCTGGTAGGCTGGCTGAAAAGTCAAGTAAGTAATAAGAGTTACCAGCTAGTGCCTCAACAACTCACTGACAAGAACATCAGGTTCTTTACAAAATATCATCTACATGAAAGCAATTTGGTGGGTTTTTCCTGAAGAAAAAAAGATTGCTACCAGCCGCATCTTACAGCTAGCAACAGCTGTGAATAACCCAACTCAACAAGAAACCTCTAGAAGGGTGAGAGACTTTTTGTAAATTGGAATTGAATATAAAACTAAATAGATCCAAAAGAAGGTTTTGGGAAGCGCATTTTTAAATGATTAGTTTTAATCTATAATTTAATTATGTTGTGTTATCATTCATGTAACACACGAGGAATTTACAATCCGGGTATTTAATAAACAGACAAAAAAGAAGGGATTAGGAAAAAACATTGCCAAACTGTTAATCTTGTTGTAGTTGTGGAATGGATGTTTAACTATCTCAATATCCCTTACCTGTAAAGTTTGCTCTGTGGTCTGCATTATATTACTTTTACCCTTATTGAGGCCAAAAATATATAATTAGGTAAATAATAAGGGTAGCTTCGTCTGAGGATGTTTTATTCTGTATAAATACAACTAGCATTTGATCTTACTTTTCTATTCTTGTCGTCGTTGCTGAGGTTACATTGTAGTTGGCTGTGCAATCCAGCTGAAATGAGCAGATCACTGATCTAATGCCATTAGATAAAAGTATGTCAGTTGAATGGATGGCACTGTCTTGTGTAATGCATGTGCACTGAGAATCTCTGGGTCTGATAAAGTCACAGTACAGACTTTATTGTGATCCATTACTTACGCTTTTTTGTGTGTAGTAGCTGCAGAATTGAGACATAAAGTAGTTCTTTTTCCCTTGACCCTTGCCTCTGTGCTGAGCATTATTCTTTCTTGCTGCTTTCCATGGTAAAGTGAACCATGATCCCTGCATTTACAACTGGTCTGTCTGTATCCTGCCTTCTTTAGCCTTGAACATATGTACTTGTTCTGCACTAGTGAGTGTCATTGTTTGAATTCTTTCCTGGACATTTCAGCTGTCCGTGATAACTGAAAACATTTATTTAGTTACCTTTCTCTTTCCTTTGCTTCTGATTTCTAAGAGAGATAATGTATCCTGTCACTAGTTAATTAGTATTTATCCAAAGTTGCACCCAAATGACGGTTTTTGGCTTTGTAATGTAAGCATCTGTTCCTTTTTCTGTTTCATGATTTTTTGGGTGGGGGAGGGAAGGTTTTGTTATTCTGTACTCCTCAGTTGACTGTACATAAGCAGCTTCATCAACTATTCCAGAGCTTCAGCCATTGGTCTTGGTAACACTGCCTTACTCCTTATTCTTTTCCCTCAGTAACTTAGAAAAATGGTTTACTTTTATGTATTTATCTCTGTCCAACATAGTAAGCTTTGTTCCTAGAATTAACTTGTGTTCCCACTGCTTTTATGCTTGTACAGGTTTTTTGGTTCTTTCTGAAGATCTGAACAACCCATTTTCCAGTTATCCGAGTCTCTCCAGGCTTCCTGTCTGCTGTTTTCAGGTACTGCTTTGTTTTCCTGTTAATCTCAGCCTGTCTTGCCATAAAACTGCAACAACTGTAATGAGAATACAGAGTACTTGTAAAATGAAACTGCTTTTTATTAAGAGAATTGTTTACAAAGGCATTGTAATTGTAACATTGCAGTTAGCATTCAAGTCGTGTGCTTACAGATTAAGTAAAATAGTTGGACTGGAAGGTATCCATCCCCTGGGTCAGTGTGTCCAGTCCTCTGCTGTTGCAAGCACCATACCATGTAATCTCCAGTGCCTAGTAAAATAGCACTGATTTCTCTTTAACTCTAATCAGTTTACCTCTCCTGAAGCATCTTAAAACTTTTCCCTTGTGCATGATGTGCTCTTCCTTTCAAGTTTCAATATATGAGATCAAAGTATATTCTATAATCTGGTAGGGTCCTGCTTTAGTGCAGGGTTATTCAACTTCAGAGCAACTAGAGGCTTCATACTGCACTGGTTGTGGGTCCTGGATACATATTATGCATGTCATAGGTGGAAGGAGAAAATATTATTTGGGGAGGCTGCGCATGTGCATGCTAGCCCATGTGCATGTACCCCACCTCCCAGCAGGTAAGTTTGTCATGGGGAAGTGGGGGGGGGGTGCAGATCGAGGCCCCCGTGGTGACAGGGAGTGGGGCAGAGGCAGGGACAGGGGCTGAAATGAATGGGGCCCTGTGGCTGGGGCGGGTCATGGGACTCTCAGAGCACGGGTGGTTCGTTCAGGGTGATGTTGGGGTTCCTGGGATGTGCGCACCCCAGGGGAAGCCCAGGGAGAATGTGCCTCCCAGATCTGTGCATGGGGTGGGCTGCCACTGTGGGCTGGATTCTGAGCCCTGCTGCTGCTGCCCTGGAGGATGTGTCTGCTGTGCACAGGGTGCAAAGCCCAGACCGCAGTGACAGCTTGCCCCATGCACAGATCTGGGAGCACATGACCCCTGGGCCTTTGCCAGGGTGCACACAGTGGCAGGAACCCCTGGCGCTCCTGGATGAGCCATCCAGGCTCCAAGCATCCCATGACCCACCCAGCCCTGGGGCTTCATTCACCCAAGCCCCTGTCCCTGCATCTGCCCCACTCCCTTCCTCACTGCGGAGGCCTGGATCTGTCCCCCCATGCCACTTCCCCACGACAGACTTACCTGCTGTGCTGGGCAGTGCTCTGCACGCCACCGGGCTGCTGCAGTCTCTGGCTGTGTTTGTGTCTGTGCGTGTCCTTCCGCCCCTGCTGCAGCTGCCTGGAGCTTGCACCCAGGCTGCCCTGTGGCCCTACCCTCTGCCACCGCTGCCCTGTATTTGAGGAGGCTAAGCTCCATTAGCCCCTGCCTTCTGCCGCCTATGATGCATGCCATGGGGCCACATACTGTATGGGTTCCCTTGGACATCATCCTACCCTGCCATGCAATTCCAAACTCTCTGCAATGTGGGCAGCATGAGCTCTCCATACCACCACTGTGTGAACCCCACATCACCATTGCACCCACAGTATGAGCTCCTGCACCCTGACGGCACTGTTAAGCAGGCAGCCAGGCCCTTTCTCGTCCTTGCCGTCTTACCCAATCCTTGCTGTCTGCTCCAGCTTACTGGGGTCCCTCCCACCATGCTGCTCTCCCTCAAAGTTTCAGGCCTCTGCAGTAAAAAGAGCAATGAGAGCAGCAGCCAGTCAGGAGCCTGTGGGCCTATACTACCCCCCTGGTGGATGGCCCTAATTTAGTACTTTGGGAAGACTTTCTTGAGGTAAGGAAGACGACCTAGTCTTCCTAGACAACCTAGACAGATAATGAGGAAAAGGCTGAAGTACTCAGTGCCTTTTTTTACCTCTGTCTTCGCAGGCAAGGTCAGCTTCCAGACTACTGCACTGGGCAGCACAGTTTGGGGAGAATGTGAGCAGCCCTCAGTGGTGGAAGAATACGTTAGGGACTATTTAGAAAAGCTGGATGTGTACAAGTCCATGGGGCCGGATGCAATGCATCCAAGGGTGGTGAGGGAGTTGGCTGATGTGATTTCAGAGCTACTGGCCATTATCTTGGAAAACATGTCACGATTGGGGGAGGTCCTGGATGATTGGAAAAGGGCAAATGTATTACCCATATTTAAGAAAGGGAAGAAGGAAGGTTCAGGGAACTACAGACCAGTCAGCCTCACCTCAGTCCCTGGAAAAATCATGGAACAGATCCTTAAACAATTCATTTCTATGCACTTGAAGGAGAAGAAAGGTGATTAAGAACAGTCCGCATGGATTCACCAAGGGCACGTCATGCCTGACCAACCTGGTTGCCTTCTGTGATGAGATGACTGGCTCTGTGGATGTGGGGAAAGCAGTGGACATAATATGCCTTGTCTATAGCAAGACTTTTGATACCCTCTCCCACAGCATTCTTGCAAGCAAGCTGAGGAAGTATGGGTTGGATAGATGGGTTGTAAGGTGGATAGAAAGCTGGCTGGATTGTCAGGCTCAACAGGTAGTAATCACTAGCTCAATGTCTAGTTGGCAGCTGGTATTAAGTGGAGTGCCCCAGGGGTGGGTTCTGGGCCAGTTTTATTCAGCATCTTCATTAACGATCTGGAAGATGGGATGGATTGCACCCTCAGCAAATTTGCAGATGACACCAAGTTGCAGGGTGTAGTAGAGACGCTGGAGGGTGTCGGGACCGAGGGCAGTCTAAGGCTATGGCCAGTAGCCCGGACCGTCAGGTGGGGTTTTTCCACGATGGAGTAGAGTTAGGCACAGAAGCGTATTGGTTGTACAAAGAAAGCTTTACTTACACTGCCGATGGTCACAGTGCAGGAAGGAAACTTGCTTGAGTTACAGTTGCACACAAACAAACAGAAGTGAGATCTCTTCCGAACCGAACTGAGATGAGTCGTTGATGTACGACTCCGCACGCTCAACACAGGGGATACGTCAAATTTTCCACTATGACGGGGAGTGGCTAGAAGCTGATCAGGCCCCTATGTCCTCCTCCAAGACGCACGTGGAGTTTGCTAGGCTCCACAGCGCGCTTAGAGTTCCCCACGAGATGGTTGTGGAGTCCTCCAACTTGGGCAGAAATTGCTCTAACCTTTTATACGGCTACCGAGCCAATTGCTAGCCGCCACGTAGGAATAATTTAGAATTGACCAATAGTGAGACACTAATTTGCATACGTGTGGCAGGAACTCTTTGCACCGGGGTTTTCTCTCTGCAGCTGAGAAATCCACCGTGCAAAGAAAGCTCCATGTGGCGGGAAAATTCCAATGTGCCGAGGCACTAAAAATCATTGGGTTATGACAGAGGGCAGGGCTAGGATTCAGAGAGCCCGAGACAAATTGGAGGATTGGGCCAAAAAGAATCTCATGAGGTTCAACAAGCACAAGTGCAAAGTCCTGCACTTAAGATGAGGGGAATCCCATGCACTAGTACAGGCTGGGGGCTGATTAGCTAAGGAGCAACTCTGCAGAAAAGGACCTCAGGATTATAGTGGACAATAAGATGGATATGAGCCAGCAGTGTGCCCTTGTTGCCAAGAAGGCTAACAGCATACTGGGCTACATTGGTAGAAGCATTGCCAGCAGATCAAGGGAAGTAATTATTCTGCTGTATTCTGCACTGGTGAGGCCACATCTGGAGTATGGTATCCAGTTTTGGGCCCCCCACTATAGAAGGAATGTGGACAAGTTGGAGAGAGTCCTGCGGGGAGCAACAAAAATGGTGATGGGGCTGGGGCACGTGACTTCTGAGGAGCGGCTGAGAGAACTGGGTTCATTTAGTCTGCAGAAGAGAAGACTGAGGGGGGATTTGATAGCATCCTTTAACTATCTAAAGGGTGGTTTGAAAGAGGATGGGGCTAGACTGTTCTCAGTGGTGGCAGATGACAGAACAAGGAGCAATTGTCTCAAGTTGCAGCAAAGGAGGTTCAGGTTAGATATTAGGATGAAATTTCCCACCAGTAGGGTGGAGAAACACTGGAACAAGTTACCTAGAGAGGTGGTGAAATCTCCATCCTTAGAGGTTTTTAAGGCCCAGCTTGACAATGCCCTGGCTGGAATGATTTAGTTGGGGATGGTCCTGCTTTGAGCAGGAGTTTGGATTAGATGACCTACTGACATGAATGCCATATGCCCCTGGAGGGTGGGGGGGCATGGCGACCGCCCGCAGGTGTTGGTGGTGGTGGCGAGCGGGAAGCACCCACAGGCAGCTGTGGCTGTGGCAGTGTCAGAGGCAGGCCGAGCAGGGAGCTCCCACAGGCAGCTGCAGTGGTGTCAGTGGTAGGGAGGAATAGGGGTGGCGAGCATTGACTAGTGGTTGGCGACCACCTGCAGACGCCACTGGCAGCATCAGTGACAGCCAGCAGTGATTGGGGACTGCCCGTAGATGCCGCCAGTGGTGTCAGCGGGGGGGGGCAGGGGCGGGTGGCAAGCAGTGACTGCCCACGGGCACCACTGACAGTGTTGGCGGTGCTTTTTGCTGGGGGTGCACCGCCAGTCTCAGGGGGTGCATGTGTACCTGTGTGCACCCCCTAGGCATTGCCAATGCCTACTGAGGTCACTTTCAACCCTAATTTTTTATGATTCTATGATTCTAATGTCCCTCTGAGCCTAACAGTCCATTGGGTTAGTGTGGTTAAGGTGCACCAACTTTTTAAAACTTAAAGCATGCCTCAGAAAATGTCACCTGTTACCTCTTAATTGTTTCTTGACTATAGAAATATAATTAAACAATTCTTCTTTTCCAAGGAACTCGGAAAGATCACAACAGGTTGGAATACTTTTAATACTATGGATTTCTATTTGAAATCTCTTGCTTTAGCTTGTGAATCATGTGTAGGTGTTTGTACACTTAATGGTGTTAATATTACCTGGCACCCTTAAACACATCTCATGGAACCTCAGGGTGCTGTTGCACCCTGGCAGAGAATAGTAGACAAGAAAGTGTTTTGGCCAGTATCGTGTCCAGCTGCCTTGTATTCACCAGCCTGAAAGACCAATTAACCATTTACATCTGTGTCAACT